CGCAGCTCAATGTAGAGGCGAGTCAGGCCCCTCTCGCGGGGAATGAGGAGTACTGAGCCGAGTGCATCTGACTGGATGACGACCTTGCTCCAAATGTCGGGAAAGTCGGTCTCAAGCACACCGTCTATTACGCCCCAGACAGCATCGGTGGACGAGCCTACTAGACTCGCGCCCTGTATGCACTTGCGGACTTTTGAATGGGCACCATCGCAGCCGACAATGTATCGTGTGTTGAATGTCTTGGGGGCACGGCCGACATCTTGCTGGCAGCTCACAGTCAGCGGACGGATGGCCATGGGCGTGTACTTGAAATCGACAAAGGCGGTGTTCCTGGCTACTGCAACACCTCTCTCCTTCAAATCATCTTCAAGCACGCCTTCGACCATGCCCTGGTGGACAAGCAGCATGTAGGGGTCGGTAAGGTCAACGACAGGCGGGTAGTGGACCTCGCGGCCGGAGCGGTGCAGTGGCTTGTCGACTGTCGACTTCCAAAAGGCAATGTCGTAAATCTTGACGCCTTTGCGCAGCAGGGGCTCTGCAAGACGCATCTGGCGGAGAGTCTCAATAGTCTTTGGCTGCAAGCCATCGGCACGGCCGGCAGCGGTGCGGTTGGGACGGTCATCGATGATGCGTGTCTTGATGCCATAGCGCACCAGATTGTCGCTGTATGCTTAGTTAGAGAGTGCAATCAGCTGGCAGTGTGGCTGGTTGTGTCGTTACTCACGCAAGCATGAGGCCGGCGGGGCCTGCGCCGACGACCATGACATCACTCATGAAGCTCGAGTAGTCGTCCTCTCTGGTGTAGGGCACGCTGGGTGTGGTCTCCAAACTGCTTCCTGTCGAACGGGACTCGGAGTCTGAAATGGTAGTGATGCCGGGGGCCATTTTGTCGCGGATGGACGTAGGCGGACTGGTCGAGGTTGAGCGCTTCATGCGCGTCCAGAGTGAGGGCGCCATGGTTTTGCTATGTAGGCAGTAGTGGCCGGGGCGCTAGGGCAGAGATGGTCGGGGGAGGCCGACTCGCTCGAGGTGAGAAGGATTTGGAGAGTCAACAAACGTTCGATTATCTGTCGAACATGTGCCCATTTTCAAACGGCAGAGCAGCGTCCAGGGTCGTCCGAGGCGCGTCATTGTGCTGGCGGCGAGGAGAGAGGGTGGGCGCCAATGGGTGATGCGACGCAAGGGGTTGCATGCACATGGCCGTGAACGGCTTCTTCAGCCCCACCCGCCTCCCCGGCTGCCACCCAAGTCACCACCACGTCCCCATGTCGTGGCCGTTGCAACCCCCCGACAAGACGCCGACGGCAGCTAGCTGTCCTGAGCAAGCCGCGATATTGCATCCACGTGGAGGGGGAGGGGTTGGGGTTGTGGTTGTTGTTGAGCATGCCAAAGTGCCCGGGGGGTGTATACTACAATGTCCATGTACGTACATCTCAAAGTGGTATGCCTGTCTGTCTCGCCGTGCCGTCTATTGTATTGGTATTGATAGTCCGCACCAGGGGGGGCCTCACTCTCTCTCTCTCTTTTTCTTTATCTCTGCTATCTCTTGTATACTAACTAGCTATATACTCGCCGCCACCACCACCACCGTCTCTTTCTCCTCTATCCCTCCTCCTCCTCCTCTTACTCTACACAGCACCATGACGACATGCAGCACGTCCCAATTGCAGTGGCAGCAAGTAGCCGCCCAGAAACAGTCTTTGCGTCGAGCGGCCATGCAGCGCTTCACGGGCGCAGACGCTGAAACGACGGCAGCCGAAGTGAACCCGGGCGGCTTGCGGATGCAGGTGGTGCACGCTGACGACTGCAGGCCTTGCCCAATCCGGACCACAGCCTGGCCTTGACCTCCGCCATCAGCAGCATCCATCTTGTCTCGCAAGCCATCTCCTCGCGTGCTGTCACGGCATCACAGCTGCTGCTTGCCTACATCGCCCGGTAAGTAAGCTTCGCCAACCTCAACTCGCTCTCGACCCATTCTCACGCCACCTTTTCTGCCCAGCGCTACACATGCTCAAACCCGCGTACGGCCCGCCGCCTTCCACCCTCTCCTAGTCGACGTCCGACTGCCCGTCCCGCTAACTGCCTTGTACAGACAAACTGGCACGTGCCCGCTCCCTACCCCTTCTCGAATATACAATACAATACAATAATCCTCCCGCTCATCCCCCGCCTTTGCTGACTGATGCAGCCTGACCGAGATTCTTTTTGACGATGCCCTTGAGCGAGCCAAGGAACTGGATGCCTTTTTCGAGCAAAATGGCCGCTTGGTGGGGCCTCTCCACGGTGTGCCAATGACTCTCAAGGACCAGTTCGATGTCAAGGGATACGACAGCACGTTGGGCTACGTTGGGCGGGCTTTTCGCCCTGCCCTCCAAGATTGCGTCTTGGTCTCTATGCTCAGAGCCATGGGCGCCGTAATCCTTGCCAAGTCCAATCTCCCCCAGAGCATCATGGTAAGTATGTATACATAAGTATCTATATACACCCACACATGTCCACATTATGTACTCCTATATACATATGCACACACGACATATATGCCTTCCAGAACAACGTGCACAACTGACATCGCCAGTGGTGCGAAACGGATAACCCATTGTGGGGCCGTACCGTTCACGATAAAAACCCCGAATTCACCCCCGGCGGTTCCACTGGTGGGGAAGCGGCGTTGCTGGCACTGCAAGGTACGGTGGTTGGATGGGGCACCGACATTGGAGGCAGCGTACGCATTCCAACCCATATGAATGGCCTATATGCTCTTAAGCCCAGCAGTACGCGTCTACCATACCAAGGCGTTTCCGTCTCGACCGAAGGCCAGGAGCACGTCCCGTCCGTCGTAGGGCCGATGACTCGAAACATGGCCTCTCTAGTCGACGTCACAAAGGCAGTGATCGACGCAAGTCCCTGGGACCACGACCCAAAGTGCTGTCCAGTTGCTTGGCGATCTCAGCTTTACCAAGATGCGCTTTCCAGGCCGTTGGTGATCGCAGTCATGCGCGACGATGGCGTAGTCAGGTGCCATCCACCCATTGCACGCATCCTCAACCAAGTCGCCGCTGCCCTCCAAGACGCTGGCCATGAAGTGATAGCGTGGACACCAGGCGGTCTGCACCAGGAGTGCATCGACGTCATGGCAAGTCCATCACCATTTCCACATCTGACTCGACCCTGACGTGTATGTGTGTGCAGGACCAGTATTATACGGCCGACGGCGGTGAGGATATCCGACGTGACGTCGAGGCCGGTGGCGAGCCCTTCATACCCCATGTCGAGGCCCTCGTCAATAGGGGACAGCCCATTTCGGTATACGACTACTGGCAGCTCAACAAGCAAAAGGTGGCATTGCAGAAGCGCTACCTGGACACGTGGAACTCGACGCGATGCGAAAAAAGCGGAAAGTCTGTCGATGTTCTGCTTACGCCCGTCATGCCACACTCCGCAGTACCACATGGCAAGTGTCGGTGGGTAGGATACACCAAAGTTTTTAACTTCATAGACTACCCGGCAGTTATCCTGCCTGCCGGTCAAGTTTCAAAAGAGCTTGATGCTGAGGCTACTGAAGCCATGGGCGAATACTGTCCGAGAAATCCGTTGGACGAATGGAATTGGAACATGTTTGACCTGGACGCAATGGACGGCATGCCGGTCGGAGTGCAGGTTGTCGCGCGTCGCTTACAAGAGGAAAAAGTGCTTGGTGCTGCAGCTGTCATTGATAGGATAGTCAACGGTATGTAATGCGGTGCGCACGTGTTTTGTTAGCACTTTTGTCGATGCGGCTGCAAACAAGTCAAATTAGAGTTTTGCCGAGCCTTGAGATGCCGACCGTGAAGATGCCGCTCGCTCGTGTTCGGCGGATCCTGAAGGATTGAGCCTAACGCACGTGAACACGCGAGCACGCGACAGTCAGGCCTATAATGATTCGTGGCGCCCCCGCTATCGAGTCGTGTAAGGCGCCCTGCTCCACTGCGGAAAGCGACCCTGCATCAATAGGCCAGGCAAGCGGGGAAAGTCGAATAAAACATGACAAGCCAAGCAGTTGCCCAGTGATGATTTTTACAGTACCTCCTATTGAGTTGCTTTTGCATCCTCTGCTGGGTTGTGTCGATTCTAGTACGCTAACTTTGATATTTGATATAGTCGACATTCGACCTGCTTAATATAGAGAGTTTCCTTCCTTGTCCAGCCGAGATTTTCGCATGATCAGAGTTCTCTCTGTAAGGTGAACGTCAACTGTCACGTGATGATACCAAATGAGAACTCGTACAAGAGACTGACTTGTACAGCGTCACTTCCATCCTCATCCACTAAATAGAAACCTTATCTACATTATCCCCTGCCCTTAAATCGTTCACTATCCTCATGCCGCAGTCCCGTCATGCTACATCCAAGGGTGGTATACTAACACCACGATCCTCCCCCCAGCCCTCTCCCAGGTGTACTACGTCAGCATCGGAATATCCGGAACCTATCGGAATAATGCACCACGCATACCCCTCACGCCGTCATGTGCCTATCTTATCCTCACGCTGCACGCACTCCACATGTATCAACAACATCATTTTAGCCTACCGGATATGCACCCTGTGCACCTTTGGCGCCCTCAGCGCCCGAAGCTAACCGACGACGCTGTCCAAAAAAGCAATAACAAAAGAAAGGTTTGGTTGCAGTTCCGAATCTGCAAAGCTAGATAAGCTATCGATACTTGCTCATGCGTCGCCTATTGAGCTACTGTATGTAATCGTCACAACAAGGTTTCGCTGCGTGATAGGCTGGCGTGGTAAGACGGGCGAGCCGTATGACGACAACTGACAGCTTGTGCTTTCGATTGCAGCTTCGGGAACATGTAGTGCTTTGAGCTGGCTGATAAGCTATGGATGGCATCTTTTCAGCCGCTTGTATAGTTACGAGTACTATTGTAGTGGCTTTTGGAACTTTCGTGTTTTGAAACGTGAACACTTACCCAGAGATACGACTGTAGTTGCAAGCGGAAAAGTGACATCATGGCACCGGGTAAACCTCAGGTTATCGTGCAGAAACAGCGGGATGAGAAGAGTAGGCTTGATGTAAGTGTTTTTTTGCGTATGTCTCTCTATCGCGGATCTTTTTTAATTAATTCGGTGTCCCTACAGGTTGTTATCGTCGGTGCTGGGCTTGGTGGTCTCGGAGCAGCGATATCGATCTTGCTAGCCGGACACAACGTACATATCCTCGAGTCGACGTCTGAAATTGGTGAAATCGGCGCTGGAATCCAATGCTTGCCGAATGCGTCGCGGATCTTGATATCATGGGGTCTCGAAGAGTATCTCGAGAAGTATGCGACGACACCGCGGTTTGGTAATATGCGTGGGTGGAAGGGGAATAAGATAAGCGATATGGATTTTCATGAGTATGAACGAGAATGTGGTACACCGTTTTGGGACTTTCACAGGGCGGACTTGCATAGGGGGCTTTTGGAACGAGCAATCGAGTTGGGTGCGAAGTTGACTACAAAAGCGAGGGTTGTAGATATCGAGTACGAAGCCGACCAAGGGAATCAGACTACCCGAGCCATCGCCATATGTCAAGACGGCACAAGATACGCAGCGGACCTAGTAGTCGGTGCTGACGGCATCAACTCCAAATGTCGCGAGATACTCCTAGGTCACAAAGACCCCCCGCTTCTCACAGGCGATCTCGCATACCGCCTCCTCCTCTCCACCAGCGACATGCTCAAAGACCCCGATCTCGCTCCCTTTGTCCTCGATCCCCAAGTAAACTACTGGATCGGCCCAGACGCCCACGCAGTAAACTACGTCCTCCGCGGCGGCAAGCTCTTCAACATGGTCCTCCTCGTCCCAGACGATATGCCCGCCGGCGCCAACACGCTCGCAGGCAACGTCGAGGAAATGCGCGCCTTATACAAAGACTGGGACCCCCGTATCCGCAAACTGCTCGCGCTATGCACGTCTGTCGCTAAATGGCGGTTGATGATCCGCCCGGGGCTTGATCCTACTTGGTCGCATACCCGGTCGTCTGCTTTTACGATTCTAGGGGATGCTGCGCATGCGACACTGCCGTATCTTGCGTCTGGAGCGGGTATGTCGCTGGAAGATGCGCATGTGCTTGGGCTTTGTCTGGAGCGGCTGACTGGTAAGTCCCGCACCCAGAAGGGGAGGGCGCTGGCGGTGTACGAGCGGTGTCGGCGTGAGCGTACTGAACGTGTTGTTTCAAGGGGGAATCGCCAACAGTATCTTTATCATGTGCATGATGGGGAGGCGCAGGTAAGGCGGGATGAACTATTGAGGGCTTTTGGACGGTTTAATGGACGGGGGAGGGTGGGCAAGGAGGAGTTTGAAGAGAGAGGGTTGAGGGTTGGGGAGGATCCACTTGCATGGCGGTGGGGAGGCGTGGGGAGTTGGCTGTTGACGTATGGGTGTGAGGAGGATGTTGAGAGGAGGTGGAGGGAGGTGGAGGTGGAGAGCAGGGGAGGTTTGGTGGAGGGAGAGAGTGTTAGGGCGGTTTTGTAGAGGAGTTCTGGTTCTTTCAGGATGAATTTGGGAAATGATATTGATATTTTAATGAAAGGTAGCTTTGTGTTGGCTGTGGAATTACGTTTACTTGGTAATATCTCGGGACTGGTATCTTCCCTAGCGGTGGTCATGGGTGAAATATTGTGGGGCAGTGTACCCTATGTTTCGGGTACTCAGAGCATTTGGAGGTCAATCCTTTCCCTTGACTGGTTATTCTTTCTCCTGTTTACAGAGGTTGGATGATGGGAGAATGCCTGTATCAACCCATGTATTAACAGATTTCGCACACTGATAACGACACGTCGACATCAAAACAACTGGCCTGATCATCAGCAGATAGTTAAAAATATATTAAAGGTTAAGAGAAACATGAGTCGGTGTACTAACAGTGACCTAAGAAGGTTAGTCGTGACATGAGAGAAGTCCGATTTTCCTTCCGTTACAATATACCAACTAAAGAACAACACCATATCAGCACACCCCGCATCCGCGATCCAAGCGCAAAAGCTAGCATATTTCCACTCTAGACCAATATTTCGCACGGCTACAAGCGCATGAGTAAAAAGTATCAGATGACCCTGAACAAACACCAGTCTTACTAATAAGCCCATCGGAGTTGCCCGAACCGCCTCTTTCCGCGCATACTAGCCAAACAGCCCGTCCAACGAAGCCCCGCGTTACTAGCATCGGGCCCCACGTCATGCGTGCCCTCCCCAAAAGCATCCAGCGCGTCGCGTCACCCTCTCTTTCTTCTTTCCTTTCTTCTTCTTCTTCTTCTCTCCCATAATGACCACACCCGCCATTCCCAAATTCAGCCCTGGAGAAGCCGTCAACGAAGAAAATGGCCTGATCCACGGCGTCTCGGCGCAGGAACTGCAGATTCTAGGGGAGCAATGCTTTGATGCGCGTGAGAGGGCTTATTGTAAGTATATTTCCAGACCGATATGAATCGGATCTGGCCACGCAAAGTCAAGTTTGCGTGAAAGAGGAAGATGAGAGCGGAAATACCAACACTATAGAATTAGGCCCTTACTCCCTCTTCCGCGTCGGCGCCTCCCTCCTCCTAAACACCTCGAATCCCACCGCCCCATCCACAACGCACATTATCACCGGCGCAAACGTGGAAAACGCAGCCTACCCCGTCGGCACCTGCGCCGAGCGCGTCGCCATGGGCACAGCCGTAATAGCAGGGCACCGCATCGGCGCCTTCAAAGCCGTCGGCGTGACAACCGACATTTTGGATTTTTGCTCCCCCTGCGGCATGTGTCGCCAGTTCCTACGCGAGTTTCTGCAGCTTGAAACCCCGATTTTCATGTTTAATAAGGAGGGAAAGTGGATTGTGAGGACGATGGGCGAGTTGTTGCCGCTCAGCTTTGGGCCGGATGTTTTGCCCCCGAGGGAGGAGTTGAGGAAGGGGCAGGAGGGGGATAAGGCGAAGACTGCGTAGAAAGGGTGGGGGGATTGGGGATATGTGGCATTGGAGGTGTTGGTGATGTATGCATTGCATGGGTAGTAGGAGTATGAGCATCGTTGGCGCACTGGGTGTGGATTGAGGGTGCTAAACTAGATGGTTACATATTCTACAAAAAGAATTGAACGCATGGAATACACACGATGAATTTTACATGTCTAGATTCCAAAATCCTTAGAAATCTCCCAAATCTTGCTATTTACTATTCTGCACCCACCCCGCAGCCAGCCTTGCCCCGCGGAAACCATGAAAGCCCATCCCGATAAGCCCCCAGATAAGACTCCCGATTTACCCCAACAGCGAACACTTCCCTATCTCCGCGCCCCGTGGATATGTAATGCACACTGCCACAATCTAGCATTCCTGCAGACCAAGTGAAATGCTCCGCTCAAACATGACGCGACTGTTCCCCCCCCGTCTGCCCGCGCTCAAGCAGCGCGTGTATTCCCCTTCTTTTTCTATTTTCCCCGTACTGGAAACGCTTTTGAATTGTTTGACTATCGAGTAGACATTGTGGTATATACCTAGTGCCAAGATGACGCAAGGCGATGGGAGTATTAGGGAAGAAGGGATTAGGGATTCGGAGCATTTTTCACCTTACAGGGCTGATGGGAAACTTGTAAGTTGTGTTTCTTTTGTTAAGGATGGGGGATGTTTGTGTGTGAATTGGCGAAGAGGCAAAAAAGTTGAGAAGAATGTGAGGGGAAGATGGGATATATGTGAAAAGAGACTGGCTGATAACACTTGGCAATATAGTACGGCTTCGTGTGCGTAGTAACAGGCGCAACGCAACCTGTAGGCAAAGCCATAGTCGCTGAATTAGCTGGTGCGTCCTTCTCCATTTAACTCCCTCATGCCAAATTCACTTCCCCAAACAAAGCGTACTACTTTGCAATTCTAACACCACCCAGCCCACGGCGCAGCCTGCATCTACGCCTGCTCAACCCTCCCCTCGGATCCGTACTCCCTCCCCGACACCACCAGCATCCAGTACCCGAACACGAAAATCATAAGCTACCCCTATAACATGGCCTCGGAAGAAGACACCCTCGCCCTCATCGATGACGTGCTAAACACCTGGGGCCGCCTCGATGTCTGGACCTCATCAACCGGGCTCTTGGGTCCCCCTTCCATCACGCAAACAGGACCGAAGGATTTGTATGCGGCTTTCGACACGAATGCGCTCCCTGCGTTTTTCGCACTCAAGTATGCGCCCGCGGCGATGCAGAAAACGATACCGAAAGGCAACTACGCGAATGCTGCACCGAAAGATGTCGCGTACGGCTCTATCATCGTGGTGACGAGCGTGGCGGGGACGTATGGGGGCTGCTGGGCCCCTGCGTTTACGATGGCGTCGCATGCGGCGTTGGGAGTGGTACGGTCCGGTGTGCTTGTATTAAAAGGGACCGGAGTGCGGATCAATGCAGTGGCCGCCGGCCAGATTGATGTGGGCGTTGATTTGAAAGAATGTGGTGTGAAGGAGATGGCTCAGGGACAGTTTCCGCCAGCGAGTCTGCAAGGGGGTGAGAGTCAGAAGAGGACGATTGGGTTGGAGAGGGCGGGGAGGCCCGAGGAGGTGGGGAGAACGGTGGGGTTTCTGGCGAGTGGGTTTAGTAGTTATATCACTGGGGCGGAGTTGAGGGTTGATGGGGGTGCGGGGGTTATGAATCCTATTACCGTGCCTGTCTAGGGATCTAAGTAGTAAGGGATAGTACAGAAGAAGGAATTGAGGTTTTTTACAGTACCATACTCCAGCCGTCTACGCCTTGCTAATGCTGTAACACAACCGGCACACCCTTTTCCCAGTTTTCTATGCTCTCTTTGATATTGACCCAGTACCGCAATTTCACCGCCTCACTCTTCGCCGCATCCAAGTCATCCTCTTTAAATGCCTTGTCGATAATTTCTGTGCTTTGCGCTATCCTCTCTTCGTTCCTTTGCCGCATCTCCTCCAAATCCTCTTCTCGCTCCGCCTCCTCGATGCTCTCTCTCGCCTCGAGAACCTCCATCAATAATTCTGGGTCGTCCACCTTGGCCGTCTCATCATCCGCCACTTGGATGCCCCGCAAAGAAAGTAGATATTGTGCGCGCAATAAGGGGTTTTGCAGTGTTTTGTAGGCTTCGTTTATCCGCGCCGACGTGGCCTCGGCGCGCTTCTTGTCTGCTTGCGGGTGAAGATCGGGATGCGCGCGTGCTTGTAGCTGTAGGAACTCGCGCTTAAGGGCGGCGAGGTCGATGGCAAAGGGGCCGTTTGGTGGGGGACCGTCGGGGAGCGATGCGGGAAAGAAGGAGTAGTGTGTCTGTGGGGCTTGTGCAGTCCCTGATGGCTTTGTTTCAAATGGCTTTTCGACCGAATTCGAGCTCGACGATGTAGATTGGAAGCGACGGAAAGCTACTTGTGATCCCATGCGGTGGGCGCAGAAGAGACATGGTGCACCAATTTGTCGCGTGCGAATTGACGATGAGACGGCCGAATCAGAGGTGAGCGATGCGCGAATTCTACGCGCGGCGGATGGCCTTAAGGAACGCATTGTTTAGGCTGTGGGGTGTATGTATACGTGTAGTGGGGGTGAAGGTAGAAGAAGGATGTGGTAACAAATGTTGCGCGGATCTGTAGTAGAGGGGTCAAACATTATCGCGCTCAAGACATAATCTACTAGTTACGTCATACATCACTACTAGCTGTTATAAAAATTCAACCTATCATTCACTTTCTATTCTATAGATATAAATACTTTAGAGACTTAGTAAGATTTTAAAGAATAATCTATATATTATCTTATAAATAGTTTATAGAGTATTTAAGTATAACGTACCTAATGACTTCGTTAGACATCCGGCTTCGCCGGACACTTCTGCTAAGCCTATACTCAAACTACTATATTATAGCCTAAAATAGCCGACTTTAGACCTATATAGCGTAAAGAAATATAAGATATTATTCTAAGTGTATTTTTATTGCCTACTTATAGGTCTACGCGTTAACGTATCGTATAGCTTTATTAGACACCTAGCTTCGCTGGACACTTTCACTAAGCCCTTACTAAAATTACTACGCTACTCTAATATCGTAATAATAAATAGTAGATAGAGCTCTTTAGTAAATACTAAATATAGATTACTCTTTAGATACTTAAATAAAACGTAAATCTCTTACTATTGTTAGGATCTTACTATTACAAGTAATAAGAAGAATTCCCTCCTTAATAAGTAACGAGATAGCTAAAGGCCTATAGACATCTACGTTAGAAGATAATAATTATCGCAGGGCTAGGTTACGTAATATACTATCCCGCTAAGAGTAACTATCTAAGAGATAGTAGAACGCCTTAGAATAGCAGCCATCCATAATATTATAACTATCCTAGAGATAGTAGAGAAGTAAGAGATAGTAGGACTAGAGGTAATAAGAATATAAGGATAGATAGATTTTATTATTACTCTTATTATAGTTAACTTAAATTATACTTTCTTACTAGTTACTT